GTTATTTTAACAGAATAACTGTTATTTTAACCGAATAGCTGGATTTGGTGAGCAATTTGAGATGAGGGAGACAACAGAGTTAGGGATGGATCTAAGGAAGGAATTTCCAGAGATGGGAAACACCAAGGGTCCACCTACAGTGGTGATCCAACAGTTAGGACCAAGTCCTTTGAAGCAGGCAACATAGCGAACATACGTGGGACAAACTAAAACTAAGACATGTCCCACTGATTTTTCCAAGGATAAACCAAGAGAAAACACCGCCAGTTGCCTCCGGGCACGTGAGACGTGGGCTGGAGGGAGATGGGTGACACACGTTTAAAGGGTTAGAGCTTGCATGTGTATTCCAGAATTCATCTCTCCTCTGGAATACTTAACTTTAGGCATTCAGAAATCAAATTATATCATCCCTTTATTTTCAACCTGTCCGAGCACCATAATATGAGGGAGCTTCCAAAAGCACCTGGGAAAATGGGATTCAAAGATAAAGGAATTGTCCCATAGACTTTTATTAAGTATCCCTTTGTATATATTTTTAAACCCAGGCATAATGGGATAATAATCCTAACTATCAACAGTAGTATGGTGCAGCAGGAAAACAAGAGATCCAGTGTTAAATAAGTGATACTGTACCTTTAGGTGATAATGAGGTTTTGGATAAATTCAAATGCTTTAGTCCCTTTGGGAGTTTGGCAAACTGAATACTTAAAGAGGACACACCTGAAAAAAGGGGAGAAAAAAGAGATGATTAGACTTTGGAAATTCTCAGAATTGCATGTGTTTTATAAGGCCAAAACTTTTCAATTTTACTCCAGTTCTGATATTTTACTTGTCCCTAAGTAAATGTCAGTCCTTATTTTTGAATTATCTGCCATCATGTCTGTCTTTCTCTCTGTCCCAGCTATTGCTTAGGAAGCTGAGAGACTGCTGAATTAAGTGCATCCATACTGGAGGTTTTACCAGTAGAGAAGCTGGGGGCCAGCAATGCTCTTTTCCTGATGGCCATATTTCAAAAGCAAAGCCTCTTGGGAAGGGTGATATGCTTGCCAGCCCCTCCCATTTCCCTCTTTTAACCTCTGTCTTAATGAGTTGCTTTCTCTCCTGGATGAGCAGGTGCCTGTTATTTAATTATTGTCAAGAATAGGTGTAATGTTAACTATTTGGATAACAGCTTCACTTTTACCAGATGGATTCTAATCCTCAATTGGTTTACAGCTAAAACCTCAGACATTTGTCAGTATATTTTAATTTCTTGGGCACAAGTTGTGCACCTTAGAACAGTTCACCAGGAAGGCACTGTGCTTAATGTGAGGCATTTTCTAAATGTAACATTCAGTGTGAGAGAATGGGAATTCCACCAAACACACCCCAAACCCACAGCTATCAGGTCAACTCTGATTCATAGTGACCCTGAAGGACAGAGTAGCATTGCCCCTTAAAACTTAAAGGAATAAAAGGAAAACACGCGTAGTTTTAGGTTATTTTGACTCATAAAGACCCCATGGGACATATTAGCATTTCACCATAGGTTTTCCTTGCTGTCATAATTCAAGGATTAGGCAGGCAAAACTTTTCTCCCACTATGTGCTGGGGAGGTTCAAATTGTGAGCCTACTGATGAGCAGCTGAGTTCTTAGCAAATGTGTCACCAGGGCAGGGGGGTGTGCACACACACGTATAAAAACTTCAGATAAAATGTAGATTTTATGAACTTGCAAAAATTACCCAAAAAGGATATACCTATTCCATGTATAATGAAAAAAGAACAATCAAACTGACATACAAGGGGCCACCTCCCCACAAAAAAAAACAGATTTTTTTTCCAATGGTATGTATTTAAATTTTTCCCCCCAAATTCATCATTTTGAACATACTCTCTATTACACTTAATACATTTGTCAAATCTGTGATTCCACTCTTGGAAACATTTTTCAAACGCATCTGTTTGGATGGCAAACAGAGCCTCCCTTGTTTCTTTCTTCACCTCTTCTACAAGTCCTTTCATGTCTCTATTCATTTGCAGAATCCAAAAGAAGTCGCATGGCGTGATGTCAGGTGAATAAGGTAAGTAGAGCAAGAGAGGTATGCTGGGTTTTTTTGCCAAAAACCGGTGCACAGAGATGGCTGCGTCCTGGTGGCAAAACCAGTCTGTTGCACACTTGTTATGCAATCTTTTCAGAACCTCCAAATAAAAGCTTAATTAACAGTTTGCCCTGGTGGAACACACTCCAAATGCACCATCCCCTCACCTAAAACAAACAAACAAACAAACAAACAAAAGCATCGTCTGTATCTTTGATTTCTTTCACTTGATGAGCTCTTTTAGGCTGAAGTGACAATGGTGTTTTCCACTGGCTTGATTGCTTGCTTTTGGGGTCACAGAATAGCTTAACATCTCCTCACCAGTAATGACCCTGGGGGAAAAAAGTCTGGGTCGCTTTGGAACCACTTTTTCAAAGCATGCTTTTTTTCCTGGCCAGTCAGAACCCAAGGCACAAATTTCACAGCAACCCTTCTCGTTCCCAAATCTTCCATTAAAATTCACTGAACCGAGCTCCAAGATAGTCCAGATAACTTCCCCATCTCTTCAATGATCCATCATTGGTCTTTGAACACAAGTACACAAATTTTGCAAACATTTTGATCCATCCGGGAAGTTCACAGAATCCAGAATGAAGTTTGTCATCAATCGACATTTCACCTTCTTTGAAACAAGAAAACCATTAGAGTTTTCCCCATAACACTGTCCTTGTGAGCTGTGTTCAACATCACAACAGTTTCTGTGGCATTTTTCCCGAGCAGGAGACAAAATTTCACAGCCACAGCTGTTCTTTTATATCGGCCATCACAAAAAACGAGGTTCAAGTGAAACTGATTTTACGAAAAAATTTACTGTGACCAGAGAGAACCTTTCTGGGCGATGCCACTGGGTGCACTAACTCAGAGCGAGTTGGAAGATGCTTGCTTAGCAGGGTAAGAAAAATGTGTACTATGAAAGCTCTGCTCAGTGGAGCTTTTTTGTTTATTTGTTTTTGGTTTTTGGGGTGTGGTACTCCCTCGTATTTGTAATGTAGATAACAAATGCAGAATGTACTTTATCAGAGTGCACATGAAATACTTATACAAAGTGACCATGTGACATCATGGGTTACAGATTGGCCTGGTAATCTGAGGGCCAGCACTTTGAATCCACCAGATATTCGGCAGAAGAAAGATGAGGCTTTCTGCTCCCATAGCGACTGACATCCTTGTGAATCGGCAGAGTTTCTCAAAGTGGGCAACACTGACGTTTCAGGGACACTGGAATGTTCCAAGGGACTGCAAAAGAAGGTGTCTACACTATTTCCTAGATGATCTATAAGACAAAAGTTTTTAATTGCCAGGGAGGTTGCTAAGTAATTTGTTTTTAAGTTTGGGAACCTATGCCCTATAAGGTTGCTATGAGTCAGAATCTACTTAATGGCCGTGGGTGTATGCTGAATCATACACCTATTCTCAAAAAAAAAAAAGATTATGTACCTAATTACTGTAAACCATACAAAGAATATTTATTCCCTATTATATATGCTCTAACAACTACCATGGCTATGAAATTAAGACAGAAATTTAAACAAACAAACAAAAAAAACCACAGAAAATTACCAAATAACTAAGCAATATATTTCTAAATAACAAACTCAAGAAAATTGCAGTAAAGCGAAATTACTTTGTAAGGCTCTTCTATCCACAGTCTTTGTAACTCCTATCAAATGATTTCCATGCAAATAAGGCTTAAGGAATTCCAATGAGGGGATTGGTCACTTTGTCATTCCAACAGAAATAAAATAAGCCATCTCAAGAAGCAAGAAGATGTGATAAGAGTTGTAAGAGCCCCTGATAAAATGATTTTTTTAAAAAGAAGCAAGAAGACGAGCTCCCGTAACCAGTAAAAACAGGACCCATATGCTGAGCAGCATGGAGGTCATGGCAACAGAGACCGTCGAGTAGTGGTGGTAGCTGCAGAGAACATGAGACAGAGTGACCAGCTCTCCTGGCTCATGAAGAGAGAATCTGAGTGCCTTCAGGCAGCGCTGGCAGCACGAAAGGCTCTTTGTAACACTTTTACCCAAGCAGGGCAGAGGCCAAAGATCAAACAGAGAGACACATGCCTGCCAGCATGGCTAAGAGGAGGCTGTATCCTTAATGTTTTATCATCCTGACTTGTAACCTGCTTACTTCCCTAAGATGTCCACAATCATGTGTATTGTCTGTGAGTTCTGAGGCTAGCGATATTTGATTATCTATTCGTGTATTTTTTTCATGTTGGCTATTTGAATAAGCTCTTTGCTGAATGATACAACTAGAGACATGCTTAAAAGAAAATCTATAGTCATAAACAGATAAAAAAGAAAAACTAAAAAATTAGCACAGGTCTGATTTCAAGTTATTTAAAAACAGCAGCAAATTAATCCTAAAATGGGATTAGAACAGTCAAAAAATAAAAGTAACAAAACCAGTCTTTTAAAAGATTGACAAAATCTTAAAACCACAGGGCAGAACTGGTTAAATAAGATAGAGGGAGAAGAGAAGAGAGAAATAGACTGAACAGTCAAAATCCGAAATGAAAAAGAGACAAATTGGTAAATGTCACGAAATGAACCTCCAAATATATGTATTCTAAATCCTATAGAAAGAAACAGAAGCTGTAGAAAGACAATGAAATTCCCTCTGAGCCCACAGAGAGAGAGACACGCTGAATTTGGACTTCTAGTCTGCTAAGTGGTGAAAAAATAAATTTCTGTTTGTAAAACTCACCCACAAGAGTTTTTTTTTGCTAGAGCAGCCCTGGATACACAAGACAGAATTTGGTACCAGGAGTAGGGTGCCACTCTCACAAATGTAGAAGTAGATTATTTGGAACTGGGTGATAGATGGAGACTGGAAAAAAATTTAAGGTGGCCTATAGTAAAAGCCTAAATTCTCTTCAAAAGCCTGTTGGTGGAATTCTGGACATACGGGCAAGTCCGGCCAAAGCCAGAGGGAAGTGAGGAGCACCATAGAAAAGTCTCTATCATCTTAGAGAATACGTATGCAGCAAAGAACAGAACATTGCTATAAATGTACATGTTGTGTGCTTCTGATGAGGCTTAATAAATAAATGAGAAAGAAGGATTAGATGTTGGAGAGACGATGCTTTTTATGCAGTGGCAAAGAGATTGTCTGGATTATACTGAAATGTTGGGTGGGTGGTAAAGCTTAAAAGTGATGAATTTGGATATTTGGCTGAGGAGATTTTGAAGCAAAAGTCCTATCCATGTAGTTCCCAGCCTAAACTATGAGATTCTGATTTCCTGAAGGCTATGGGTGACACCGGGAGCCCAAGATACATTTGTGAGATCTACAGAGGAAATAAGCCTCTGTATTTTGTTTGTTTGTTCATATTAGGATTTATCCCAGATGTATTTTGTCACTGGGGGTGACCCTCTTGAAATTGTGTTATATGTCTGTCTATTTTCTGTATATGAAACCCAGGCTTAATGAATCTTAGAGACAGCAAGGAGAATAAGGGTTTCTGGGGAATACAGTGGTTGTTGGGGGTGGGGGGTGGGAGAGAGGTTTGAGATTTGGGGAGCAAACAATGAATGTGAGAGGAGGAAGGGAGCATTAGAACTGATTGGGATGATGTCAAGGAGTCCAGGAAGGTAGAGAATGCTTTGAAACAGATTGTGGTAGCGATTGCAC